GCGGCATTGTGGTCCCCCCAGTTTATTTCCTCACGCAAGTGGCGAGAGCAGCCGCCTGTCTGGAATTGGATAGACTGTGCCGCATGACAGCAGAGCTCGGCGGCACAGCCTACCTGCCACCTGGCCGTTCAATCCTCGTCCCAGCCATCCATTCTCGGCCGTCTGTCACCCCGCCCAACCCCAACCATGGGACAAATGGCAGCGGACAGGCGACAGCGTCTCAGATGACACCTGTCCGCACCTCCCCCTCCCCTCCACCCCACCGCCGCCGCCACACCCGTCCGTCTGTCCCATATAGCTCGTGCCGCGGAGAGAGGGCGGAGCGGGGAGAGCGGCAGCCGGCGCGCGCCCGGTGCCGCCGCCGCGCCGTCCCGGTTGTCGAGCATTCACCCGCGGCCAAACTCGGCCGGCGACGGAGCCTCTGCGCAGGCGCCGCGCCAGCACTCACCATCGACCCTGACGGCGGCCGCCGAAAGTGGGACGCCGCCCGCGTCGAGGCTAGAGTTCGTTGCTCTCTCTGACGTCATACGAGGCCGATAGTGTTAGAGGCTAGCGGCGGTGGCGGCGCGGACGGGACCGGATCGCCGGTTTCACAAGCGTACCGGCGGCCGGCGGCGGTCGGAGCCTTGCAACAGAAGGTCCCGGCCGAGTGGAAGTGGGTCAATGCCGCCTGCGCAGAGGCTAGTACGTTGGCCGGCTACTGACTCACCTTCGGAAAATAGGCTGATGGCGCTCGGAAACACTTTCGATGCGGCGACTCTGGGACTGCTCGAGGACAACAGACTGGGACAGGGAGGGGGCTGGGAGGGGGGAAGGGGTGTTGGGGATTGGTGCAACGAAATGATGCAGATGATAGAGCGCTTTCTCTGAAGGTGTTTGTTATTTCGCGAGATGATTCCTGGCAAGTGAACGATGTCATCTCAGTCATGATCTGATTGGTTAGATGTGCTATGAGAGAGAGAGAGAGAGAGAGAGAGAGAGAGAGAGAGAGAGAGAGAGAGAGAGAGAGAGAGAGAGAGAGAGAGAGAGAGAGAGAGAGAGAGAGAGAGAGAGAGAGAGGGAGAGAGAGAGGGAGAGAGAGGGAGAGAGAGAGAGAGATCGCACACTCCGTACGTGATACGCCCGGGGGAGGATGTCGTGAGCCTGTCACCGGCTTTAATAGTGAAAACAGGGTCACCGGCCGGTGAACTGTTTCGATTTCAGCACCGGTGGAGGGAGACCGTTAGCGGCCGAAACTCGGAGAAGATTTCACTTTTACGATAGGCCGTCGCGCGGGCCGAGCCATGAGATAAGGGCTGAGGTTCTGGGTGATCAACGGGCGAAGACTGGGTCACAGAGGGCTCCATTGTAGGGAAACCGATCCGGTTTATCAGATAAATGGTGAAAAAGAAAGCTAGGAGCTCGAGATAATGCGCCATGGGTGTTAAATAAGGCTGGAATTGGACTGTGAATGGGAGGTAATGAATAGTACGACAGTTGTATGACTGTTGCCCGTTTTCCATGTGCCTACTAAATGTCAGCGATTGTCATTATTTCCCCGGTAAACTGTCAATAGATCTATGAATTAAAAAGATTGATGACATATGAAGCTAATTCTGGAAAATTGAAGAGTAAGTGAGGCACCAGGCACTCTGAGCCTCACGGAAGGTAAATGTATGTCTTGAGCTGTGTGGAGCATGTACCAGTTGTTGCAAGAGCTCACCCTATCGATCTCCATGAAACACACAAATACGGTTCAAACTAAAGGATGAAAATATGTTGTCACATTAATGTGCTTCTGTACGGAGCTGCTCCTTTCTCGGTACGACAGTCGGTGACACTACAGGGAAATAAGCTAAAATTAGAGCGCTCTATTTATTGCTCCCGCTACTTCACCGTCTCCCATAGGGTCCTGTGTTGAGCTGGTGTCGAGGCTCTAAAAATGACGCCGATTTTTGCACCCTTCTCACGAAAACCGCTCGGACCGCCTGGAAACTAATTGTTCCGCTCTAAAAATTTCATGATCGACGGGAAAATGAACGAGGAAAAGATTGGTCCTGAAATAATTCTGAACTCCCTGTAGAACATATCGAAATATGGCTGCAAACTAGGAGCATGTCAAAATCGACAAAACAATACAAATAAATTTCCCGGGATTTTTTTTATTTTCCATGCATCTGTGTATGAAATCAATCGGTTTTTCGGAAAGATCGTCTTCTGTTTAATAAATAATTCCATAATTGCAATCGAGAATAAAAACATTTCTGCTGTGACAGCAGTTTTGGCATTGTGCCAGTAGTGTGGCGTGCGCGGTGCTGCGTGGTCGTCGGGACGGAGTTGTGAGTATTTTCGGTGTTTTAAATGGTTGATGGCCATTTGAACCAGCTTTATATTATTTCCTACAAATTTTTGCATCAAATTATTGCTTTGAAAGACCATTGAAACCCCTTATCTCTTCATGAAACACGATCATATTAATCGTCGACGAAAATGGCGCGTGACTCCATGTGCGTTTCGATCGAAATAAATCGTAAATTAAATAATATTCGATGATAAGTATCATATTCTAGTGACACGTTTTCATAAAATAAGGCATAAACTTTGCAAGGAAGTCAACATTGGATAATTGGATTCTTATTTTGCTCACATATTGATATCCTTGTGGTAGTCAAATGGCTCAATTGTTAGATAAATGTAAATATGTGTTTTGGCTTGATGTTTGCTGTGAAACCACCCAGCCACTTGCTGGTTGAGTGGTTTTCTGATAATTACCTGATAATCATTTCTCCTTTTCCTTAAAAGAAACTAAAATTCTTTTCAAAGTAACCCATTTTTAGGAAAGGCGGCCTGCTCATTGACATTTCATGTTCTTGTTTTGTTATTGCTGGCAGTATTTTGATACAATAATGCAATATGAATTTTTTGTGTAATAATAAGACCTAAGACAAACTTAGTTAATGTGTCAATCAAACACCCAACAGAAAGATTGTGAGTCCTTGACGTGAAGTAGAATATTCTATGAATGTGTTTTATAGAATATGCCAAATTTTAAATTATTTTATTATTTGATACTGATAGCTGAGCATGTGAATTATGCCACAATATAATTTCATTTTCTGGTATTGAAATAGCCGGCAGTATTTTACTTCAACAAATGTAATATACATGGAATACATGTTGTTATGTTAGGTATGTTAAAAGTTTAATAACAGCCAACAGAAGGGGCTGTTTCAGCAGATAATGTTTGTACCTTATGCATTACCTTTCTTTTCTGCAGGACCATGCTTCTGCTGGGTGGTCGACATTTGCCTCCTGAAGAAGTTGAGCAACATGAAGACCACCACCAGATGAGGTGTCTGCAGTTCATGTGGAACTCTGCAGACTACAAGTGTTATGCCAACCACAACCAAAGTGCTGTGATCATGGAGGCATGAATCTCATAATAACACTTCAGATTTGCAGTTGTATCAAAGTGTGATTCAAACCACCTGTGGCATCTCACTCAATGCGTGAACAGTGTGATCATTTTGCAGTGTTCAGCTGCAACTAAGACATATTTTATTAGTGACTTGTTTTGCAATTAGCCACCAAAAGCATTTTTTGGGCTGGCCGCTGTAATATGTTGTGCACTGCGCAATATTGGTAGTGTTTTGTCACTTGTCAAGTTGTCAGTTGTGCATGTTGCCTGTTTCTCTGCCCTCAGCCCTCATTATCAGTTAAGTGGTGAATTGGCATCACTCAGTCTCCCCAGATCTCCATTGACTGTCTGTCAACCACCTAACTTGAGATGGTATTTGCTAATAGTGTCAGAAAGGAAGTGATTGTAGACATTTTTAGGAATATGAGCTCCGTTTCATGCGTGTTCCAGTGGTCATTTTGTCACATGTCCCATAGTGTAATAAATGGAAACTGTTGTTCCCTTTTGAAGGTAGGTACTCGCGGATGCAGAAAGCGTTGGGCCTAATTATTAAACGCACCCTCTTATCAGCGACGCACGAAATCGACAAATATCACCCTTTTTAGAACAGGAGGAAACGAAAACTTGTGAACGCAGCTGTACCTACAACAGTGCATAAGGAATTGAAATTCTGGGAGTTTTTGAAATTCGGAGAAACTCAAGTTGTCGACAGGTATGCCCCCTTGTACGTCAAAGACCGCTTAAAAAACAAACGTCTACAAATGAAGGCAGTATTCGTATGTTCGTTGTAATTGCAGCAGCCTAGCAACATGCATTGCGGTCCGATGGCGAATTAAACTCGTGCTCAAAAACTATGCCGGTAACTGCCAATGCACTTAGGTCATCGGTGAGGAGAGGAAGGGTTATGTCAAATGTCAACATCATAGAAATGGCTTCATCTATTGAGCTGTGCCTATTGTACATAATTCAACCAATCTATGCATTTCGTTTCTTGCAATCTACTCATGCCTTCACTCCAGCTTCAGAGTAATCATCCCATATTGTACGTCTTAAGATATTGATTTATATGGCGGTTTGCAATTGCTAGCCACGTCTTACCTCAGTTTGGTGGCCCCGCATCGGCCCACTCGGCCGCTCTAAAATTGACTTACGGAGGAGGATGGTGGCTTTTATTTTAGCTTCTCCGCTGACTGCGGGGAGCGCCGTCGCCGAGGTAGAAGCAATAATTAGCTTATGTTTGGGACTAATTTCCACGCTTAATTAACATTTTAATGTTATTTTGATTAATTCATTTTAATCTTTGACGCATTCTCTTTCTATTGATACCATCCACCGGTCTGAGAATTACTGCCTTGCTGCGTAAGGGCCGATAAAAGATCACGTTTTTAGGGGTATCTCTTCAACATGGGGCAGGAGCAATAAATAGAGCACTCTAATTTTAGCTTATTTCCCTGGTATGTCACCAACTGACGAGCTTCCTTGGAATATTACCGGTAAGCACATACCTAACACTCAGTATTTAAACTCAAAACACAACATTTCCTCTCCTATCGTGCCCGCCCATTCCAGCTGCGGCACATCCATCACCCGCCGTGGAACATACCTGCCGGGGCAGCCACCGGGAGGGTGGTGGTGGGCGGCGGCACCTCCGGAATCATCGTCGACCCACGCGGAGAGCCGGCGGGACTCTCTGCCGGGCTCGGCTGACCCTTGACCGCCTCATGAAGAGCCAGGTCCAGGCTGGATCCGGCCAGCACTGGAGGGAAGGCCATCAGCAGGTCCTTTACCGTCATGGCGCACAGCTGTGTCGGAGCCACGGTGATTCGACTCGGCGAGCTCACGAAGCTCTGGGGCGCACAGCGGCGCAGCTCGGCTCAGCAGAGCACGAGCAGAATCTCTGATCACGAGTCACAAACTCACTGGCTGGAGTAGTCACTGGATGACGTCCACGTCAAGCTCTCACGTCCCTCCCCCGTCGCCCCGCACACCGCAGGCAGACCGTCCGACTGGGCAGTGATGTGGGCAGTGAATTCACAGACTGACCACCAACCGACGATGCGGCGCCCGGACCACCTCTCACACTACACGCCACGCGAGCGTCGGGAGCCGTCCGAGCACGCTGTCACCTGGGCGGAGCACAGCGACCAATTGACGCTCCGCGCGCGGCGGCGGCGGCGGCGGCGGCCGGCGCGTGTCAGCTGATCGCCGGGAGAGCGGTCGGCGCTGCGGTCAGGTCACGCACCTCGCCACTTTTACTCGGCAGCCTTTCGCTTTCCTGCAGGGCGGCTGGCTGGCGGGACGACGGCGTTCGTTGACCGGCCATCGAAGGCACCAGTCGGCCCCCAAGCGATTGCAGGGCGACGATTATCTCTGTGCCGCAACGGCACCGGAGGGGCGGCGACCCGAACGAAACAGATAGGGAGAGAGGGAGAGAAATTATGGGATGTCTATTTTTGGATGAAGGATGTCACCTTATTGAAATAATGTTGTTCTCATGTAGCAGCATTATTCTAAAAATCAAAGCCAGTATAACTATGATACCATCATTCGATATTTTTGCTGGTCACCAGAGCTCGCGCAAATTGGTCTTATATTTCGAAGCAAAATGAATTATTTCATACGCAACTGTAATCTGTAATGAAAGTCATAGAAGTCATCAACGCGGCATACGAAAACGAACGCTCATAGTAGCATTGTATGCCTCTTGTAAGAAAAAAAAAAACTAAGCTTTCTGCTCCACATCGATTGGGGTTGAGGACATTTTGGCTTTGAGGTGCATATTAAAAACATAAGGGCGTCGTAGTCATTTTAAGCCGAGTATCTTTGAGCTAAAAAGTGAGACCAAGTATAACGCAAATGCATTCATAATTATGGAATACATGAATACAGATACATGATAACAACAGACTGTGCTCCATCTTGACAACATATTAGTATAGGTCAACATACAAATACCGGGTGGCCCAGAAAAAACGTTCCCAACTTTAAATCATCATTTCTCAGAAAGTGATGAAGATACAACATTGAAACTTCGCAAAGTCAATGCGGCACACATTTTCAGTAAATGGTGTGATTTTCATGGTGTTCGGTAAATTACTGTTTAAACAGTTCGTGTTTCAAGCATGCCATGTAAAAATTACTTTTTTGCTCCGATGTTTACTCAAAAATGTGAGTGAACGGGTCACTTTCACCCCGCGGCACCGCGGCCTAGAGCCACGACTTCTACTGGCAGCTAGTCTCATTGATGGTTCGGGACTCAGGATGACACATTCCCTCAGGCAACCACGATGGCTCTGTGCCAGCGGCATCGGAAGAAGTTTCCAGTTTTCTAACCATCTTGTGGCTCAAATGCTTTTCTGGCTGACATTCCTGGGAAAAGTTAACTTTTCAACTAAGTTTTTTTTTGTCATCTGCTGGCAATGTTGTCTTTCATAAGCTATTCTGTGGTCTTCTGGCACAGGAACCAGTCTTTAGTTTGTGTCCTCATCCGGTCGATTTACTGTTTGATCTACTGAAAGGAGGGTAAGCAGCAGTAATCCATGCACCGTGCCACTCCTGCTCGAAACATGATTTGGTGTTGAAACGAATGGCATCCATGAGCACCATTTCGGCTCAGTATTTGAATATTTGGCACATAAGTGAGACAAAAATACTTAAAATAAGAACATACGTGTTGGTGTCATTCACGTGCTCTATTTTTTATTCTTTTTTATAACATGGGACGTCTAACCCAATCATCACTATCGTTTGACATCGGCAAAAAAAGCAAAAACGTCTTGCTTAATTCGACTCAAGATTGCCAGCTTGTAAATGATGGTATAGTGTTGTAATTTGGCATACCAATGTGCAAAGACATGACGCAAACTTGATGAAAATTTTGGCTCGTTATTTGCCCTCGAATTTGATATATAGACCTCCAAAGTTCGGAACGTTTTTTCTGGGCCACCCGGTATGTTGACCTAAGAATCGGTGTTGTATTATACCAAAAGCTGAGTGCTTCACATGAAAAAGTCATTAGGCCTCGATAATCCTTTTTTCTTGGCATTATCAAACCAATCATCTCTTATCAGTAAGGCTTGGGACGCTTAGCATCCCACTGGATTATATCCGTTTGTCTTCGCTTGGTAAAAGCATATCGTCATTTCTCTCAGTGGGAATCGCTTCCATTGTATCGAGTATCTCCCTCATTGTTATCTTCTCAAAGAAAGCTCGAAGCCCAAAAGCCGTTCAAACAAACGTCTGACCCAAACCATCCATCTCTTCTCCTTCTTCAAATAAACGACGTCAATCCCCTTGTCAATGCAGCGCTGCCACCAATGGGCGACCAGCTCAGTGTCTACGGTAGCCATCCTTTCTGTCATCATCTGTCCCGTCCTATACTCGCCTCAGTCACCGCCCCCCTACCCCCTCAGCCGCCATCCGTCCATCGCCACCGCCCGCCATCGCCACCGCCCACCGCCACCGCCACCGCCGCGCCGCTGCCGGCTGCCGCCCATCGCGGACAGAGCCGCGGAGAGGTGTTTTCACTTTTCAGCGCGGCTGGCGGCGCCAGATGACCCAGTGCCACGGTTTCCCGGCCGCTGAACCCGTCTTCACCTCTCGCGGCGGCGCGAGTACTTTTACTCGCGCTCGCGCTCGCGCCGCAGAGGGGAGGGGAGGGAGGGAGGGAGGGGAGGCACTTTCGGTTTCAGCCGGAGCGAGCCGGTTGGGATGTGCAGAGGCGATGAGGGCTGAGGCGCTCCAGAGCTCTGCATTGAGCCGCGTTTTGAAAATAGATTTTAGATTATGTGTTTGGCTTGAGATGGTGTGATGGAAAGCTGCGGTACAGCGCCATTTTTTCAGCAAGGGAGACCGTTCCCATTAGAGAAATTGCTAGGAATAGAGAGAATACGCCTAAACATTGCTTCAAATGCAAAATGTTTTTAACTCGATCACAAAAAGTATTGAAATACAAAATGATATTCTTATTACAGTTTTGAATTACTTACTTACAGACGGCTGTTTCAGAAAAGGTATGGAAAGCAATAGCTTGTTGTCTGATTACCCATTGCTCATACAATATTAGCACTACCGTTACAACGGTATCTCATGCAGTACTCGTAATGCTCTCACTCTTGCATCGGCGCCACGACAAATAGCTAATCCAGCACGGCTGAGCAACTCCATTCTGCAACACATGTTGCATTATAAGGGCGAGGTGGCCCCTTCTGTCGTTCTCCATGACACATTGAGTTTAATGTCGCATATATGCGCAGTAACCTGTTCTGTCGACCTTTAGGATTTAGGATCACCTGCCACGCTAGGCCGTGGATAACGCAACTCTTAGAACGTAGTACACGAGGAAAGTTCACCAGTCCGAGACAATCCCTCGTAAGTAGAACAAACCTCATGGTGTTGAAACTCATCGCACGAACGCTGCGGCCACCCTGACTGGTGAGTCGGCCTCCGTAATACATCAGGTGTTAAGAAGATGAATGACAGATTATGCTGGATTATCAGTACAAATCATGGCACATTTGCGGGATATGGGGGCAGGTTGTATCAGTGGCAGTCCAAGCAAGCGGCTATAGATAATCTGGACAGGCTGCGTAAGGCCAACCAGCATCTCTCAGAGCATACAGACTACAGAGGCGCCATGTCGCAAATGGAGGAAGTTCGCCAGCCGATGCCTCATCTACGGCTCATTAATGACCCGATTTAGGTCACGGAATAGACCCGAGGTCAGGTATCCTTGGCACGCGTGCCGAGTGCGTGGCGGCCGGGGGAAGGACACGCAGAAATGGTTCATGGCCCACACGCCGTCCGACCTCCGTGCCCACGCGCGCACGCACAATGAGCCAGCAGCCAGGGCCGCCGCTGGAGCGCCGGTTCCGCTTCCGCTCCGGGTGGTCCACGCTGGCCGGGCCACATCTGTTCTCGCCCTCTGCAAACGGTGCTCTTTGAGCGCTCTGCAGAGCCGCTAACTGCTACAATCCGGCGGCGACGGCGGCTTCTGTGCGCGCACAGAAGATACACGGGGCCACATGTCGTTGGCCCTTCCTTATAAATAAAGTCCGTCGCCCCAGATACGAGAATAGACGCCATGCGTGCGCTGTGCGTGGGCGCGTGCCCGGCGCACAAGCCGCCACCGCGGCGCGCGCGACACTAATTACTGGCGCGAGCCGCTCGCGCCATGCGGACGGCGATGGAGCGCCGCCAGACAAGCGGGGGCGGAGGCGGGGGCGGGGGCGGCTCTCAGGACACAGGTGGACTGCCACGTGGCTGCACGTGGGAGGTTCTGCAGACCCGTGCAGCACCTCCCACGTGGCGTGACTGTAACTTCGTCTTCCCTTGTCATCGTATATCGCGAGGAGGCTCATCTGGTGAGGTCTCTTGGTCCTCGCTCTAATTATTCTTTTAATAAATCAATCCAAGAAATATGCGTCACAAAGGATTTGAATGCGTCCCTGCTTTGTATTGTTATACTGTAGATTTCCTTTTGCCTTACTTGCTAGCACGGAACGTGGGTATGTCATCCTTTGACTAAGCGAAAGCTTCAGGAAACATCGCGTGATATCAAGCCAACTAGACGCATAAGGGTTGAAAAAGCATTGCAAAGTCTTTTCAGGTCAGTGGACAATGCAGCCCATGAAAAGGACGCCAGACCAAGAAGCGCTTTCACCCGCTGATAAAGCTTAATCACACATGGACGATTGCTGAAAGTTTGGCTTCATCTTTCATGTAATAAAACTGTGAAATTCATCCGATGTAAAAACGTATCGCTCAAATACAGCAAGCTGTGGGCATGAAAACGTGAAACCAATCCAAAATCTCAGAAAAAAAAGAATAACGAGCGTCCCTCTCCCTCTATTTCCTATACATCGCTTTCTATTTACTCTCCTCCTCTATCCTCCTTGTCCTCCTCCACCCTCCTCAGGCCCTCTCCCTCCGCACCCGTGCCGATCTGGCGGTCCCCGCCGCGCCGCGCTGCCATGACCCAGCTCGGCTGCGGCCTCCGAGTGAACCCGCCGAGTGACCGGTCACCGGGCCAGGTGAAGGTCACCACCTGCCGACCAGGTGGCCTCGAATCCGAGCCGGCCCCCCCCCGAGCGAGGGGGGGGGCAGGGGGCAATGTTGGCGCCAACAGGCACAGGGCAGCACCAGGATCGGT